CCGCCGCCGCATGCGCCCCAGCGCCGCCGGGCCTCTGCGGCGACGCAACGGAGGCGGCCGCCACAGCGGCCCCCGTCGCCACCACCCTCCCATCGCCGCCGCCACCTGTCCGCCCGCTACAGCTCCCCAACGCGCAATCAGCATTGGGCTCCAGCTACAGCCACAGTCACAGCGTCACCTCACCCTCCACGCCTTCGTGTGGTGGTTTCGGAGCCTTGAGCGGTGCACAGCAGTACATGGCGAGATCGCATGAGGAGGTGACGGTGCTGTTCGCAGGTGGGTTGCCGGTGGGGTGTGTTTGAACTGTGTGTGGCGGTGGTTCAACTTAGCGCCCGGGGTATTACGACAACGGTTTCAACTGACGACAACGGTTTGCCGTACTTTACCGTAACTGACGCACGTCCCTCGCTTACATAATATACAAAATACACTGTCACCGTGAGCTGTTTACCTTTTGTTATAATGGATGCTTGAAGTTTTTGAATTTTCTAATATTTTGTTATACTCGTAAAGTTGTGTCTTCAGTAATCTCTTCCTACCCCATGTGCACGTGTAATTTACGTGATGATGGTTCGAATTCTCTATGCGCCGTACACAGACATCGCCTCCTTCACCAGCATGTGTGGTCAGGTTCCGCCCCACCGAGTCATGGCGTTCCTCAACGACCTCTTCACCACTTTTGACCAGCTGGTGGAGAAGCATCAAGTTTACAAGGTCGAGACCATCGGAGGTACGGCATTGTACGGCATCGTCGTACATATCATAGTACGGAAGTGTACGGGACTGAGGCGATGCCGTTTTTGCATAATTTGGCGGAACGGCTGCCGAGAAGCGTGACTGTGTTACATTCGAGGTGCTCTTATCCTATCTTCATGTTCGATAGCCGCTCTCCTGTCTGGGCCTTTTTTCATAGCTTTTGATACCTGTGCCAAACCATCTTTTTCATATTTGCGTCTTTGGAAAACTGCCGCAAACGCTGCTTAATCTGGAAGCTGACCTAAATTGCTTCTTTCCGCTTTCGTCGAACGCAGATTGCTACATGGTGTGCGGCGGACTTGTAGAAGAGGACGCCGAGGGATTCAGGTACGACTGGTACGATCGGTACGAAACAAAAGGAAGGTTCTTTTGTTTTCCCTCTTGTTGTAGCTCCCTGTTGATAAAATTTAATACGCAACTTCTTAAACATCAGTCCTGCCGGTGCCAATCCATATGCCGTACCCACGCCGTACAACCTCCGCCGTACATCACAGGTCCGTTACAGAGGCCGTGGATCCCCTGCACGCGCACAAGGTCTTTGCATTCGCCGCCGACATGTTGGAAGCGGCTCGCTGCGTGATGATGCCCGGTACCGGCCAGCCTGTACGACTGCGAGTAGGCATCCACAGCGGCCCCGTCATGAGCGGCATCGTGGGGCGGAAGATGCCCCGTTTTTGTCTGTTTGGCGACACAGGTGTGTGAGTTTGGGGTTATATATTTATAGTTTTGTTTTGAGTCTCCGTTCTCTGTGAGAGTGAAGCATCGGCCAGCAGCAGTGGCAAAATGTCTTCGTGGTTCTTCTTGGGGTTTTATTCATGAATGGCTGTTTGGGGGAATATATGGGACTATTCACTGCACGACCCCGACGCGACAGAGCAAGGCCTACGGGCTACAGGTCGACCACTGGCCGCCAGGGCAGCACCCGGGGGGGGCCGTACGTAGCTCCACGTGTATGTAGCTCGAAGCTTGCTGCGACAGATGATGTATTTCTAGGCAAGTCCGCACATCGTACGTGAAAACCTACCTTTCCACAAGCTTCGCAAGATTTTACTCTCAGTTTTCGGTTTCTGTTGGCAGCGCATGTTGCCGGGCCCTCCTCCCCCTCCTCCTCCCCTTCCCCTCCTCCCCCTCCCCCTCCTCCCCCTCCTCCCCCTTCCGTGCGTGAATCTGTGTATCGCTCTTTCCCTTCTCGCTCCAGTCAACGTTGCCAGTCGAATGGAGTCCACGGGTGTACCTGGTGCCGTACACATTTCTGCGGCCACGCGGGCCTTATTAGGCGCCGCGGCCGACGGGTTTCTTTCCACGGGGGGAATTCCCGTCAAGGGCAAGGTACGGATTGGGGAGTTGGCAGTTGACAGTTGGGAATTGATGTTATTGTTCTTTCCTGGTATTCGCACTTTATTCGCACTGTATTCGCACTGTTCGTCCACATGCCCACGGATCCGCCACCACGCAGTTCTTTGTCGGAGAAGTGAGGGGGGGGGCCATATTCCCTCACTCACTCACTCACTCCAAGAATACCAAGCGCAGCATCATTCGCGTATTGGGGTGTGAAACGCAGTTCTTCATGCAGGTCGTCATCATGTCATCCTTCTCTGCGCCTCCCCCCGGCCTCACCAACCATGTAACCCATGCGGTTGTATGACGTACGGCGCAGGGGTTCATGCTCACGTACGTGTACGACCCGTGCGGCGTCGCTCCGCAGCGCTCTCAAACCGTCTCCCGAACTGGATCAGGTGCGGAACAGGAGGGTGCCGCTGTGGCGGGTGCCGCTAAGCTATCGGGTGCCTGTCCTGATCCTGATCTACCAATCTTGACCGCTACAGCCGTGCCGGGTATTGGTAGGGAAGGTCCCCAGGTCCCGGGGGGAGAAGCATCTAGCGGTACACCGACAGAGGCGCCGCCTCCGTTGCCGCAATAGGCCATGTACGACATGACGTACATGGCACCCCAAGTGGTATGATTGTGCGCGCGTGTTGCAAAAGCGAGGACCGCTCTCTTGCGTGTGTGCCATTCCCGAATGTTCGACGTTTGTTGTACTGCAGCATGTACGGAGTACGGAATACGGCATAATACGGATATGGCACGTGTTTGTACAATTGTGTCAGTTTTGTACTTTGGCTTGGTCCTGCGATGTCGGTTCCCGCAGCTGTGAGGGAAGGTGTTGTCCGGGCGCGTGCAGGAGGGTCCTTCGAACCCGCCATGAATATCTAGCTAGCTAGCTAGCGGGATTGTGTCTTGTAAATTATTTTGGCGCTGGCAAATATTTGTCTTGGCAGGAGTTTGTGACTTGGGTTTGCGAGGGTCGTGGTAAGGGTCGCTGTTTGAGAGAGAGGAGAGGAGAGGGGAGAGAGAAAGAGAGGGAGAGCGAGACAATTGTCAATGGAGACGCGCATTGGATTCGGTTTGAGGTTGGGTTCGGAGCTGTGTATGTATGTCCTGCACATGGGTTAAGAACTGGCAGTTTGGGGTTTGGGCTGGAAATAGGTTTGGTCACATGACACCTGCGTACGACACACGCCATGAGACACGCACGCACACACACACACATGGTTGCTTCTCTCCGACAAAACACACAATATAAAATGTTCGTACTTACTCGTTACGTTGAGGACTGCATACTGCGACGTTCGGCTTGGGGGATATACGGTTGTACGACAGCACGGATGTACGGATGTATTCACAGATTTGTATGGACGGCGGCTGCGGTGGGAGCGAGGAGCGAGCGGTGTGTGAGGAGGGAGCGGCATTACTTTTATCAATGTCGGGAGAGCGGCGGCGGCGGAAGCTTCTTTATGACATGTCGCGGTCTTCAACGCGGCTCCTGGTGTGGGGAATTTTGAAGTCAACGAGAAATCAACTAGAAGCCCTTCCTTGGCTTAGTCTCGGCCGCTATTATATATGCACCTTCTTTTATAACTAACCCATATCGGGGCGTTTCGGAAGCAGCGAGAATAAATAACAGCCATGCGCAATAGCAGCTGTTTATAAATAATATAGCAGTAATCGTCGTTATAGGTGTCTCGCAGTAATAAGGTTTGCGGACAAAGAGGAGGAGGCGGGAAGGAGGGAAGCTGTGAAGGGCCGGTAAGGTGATAACGAGGCGCCGAGTCCGCTACCCTTGCGGGGCCAGGGAGCGGTCGAGGGAGGGGGCCGGGTGCACCGCTCGCATGCACCTCTCTCGGCTGTTTGGTTTGCGCTTTTCGTCATGTGGGTACGATTTGTTTCGAACGGCAGCGTTTCGACTGCTATGGCTAAAAGACCCACGAGGAAACGCGAGGCAATGATGATGATGATGATGATGATGATGATGATGCCGTGCCGATGTGTTCCCCGAACATGCCTTAGGGTTTGAACCCCATGTGGTTCTGCGTGTGGATGCACGATCTCGTTGATGCCGGCCATGCATGCCGTACATACACACGTCATGTCTACGGGCCCCATTATGTCATCTTTCCCCTTTGTGTCCCCTTGTCGTACGACTATGACGAAAACACCAGGGGGCCCATTTTACAACCCGCGCTACAAAAATTGCTTTCCTTGCCGCGTATAATAAGCGGCGTAGGGAGTTAGGTTTTTTAATATCTGCGGCGCTTTTGGGGGTCCTATAACCCACACGCACCCGCGCGCGTGGCCGGGGGAATACGTGCGCACGCCCCTCACTTGGTGCTGGCGACGGGGGGGGGACCCGGGAGGTGGCTCAGGCTGGTGGCTCAGGCTGGGTGCGTTACGGATACTGCGGGACCGCATTCCCCCGGGGGGGGTAGGGGTTCGACATCAGAGGGGGTCTGACACGTGCTGCCGTTACACGCACATACCGACACACAGCCGAGGCGTTCAACCGACAGATGAGGCGAAAAGGTGTAGGTAGGTATCCGCTTGTACTGTACTGCATGTGTACGGCACATCAGTGGGATGTACGGCACGCGCCTTTGAGGAAGGCCTCCTCGGCTTGGGCTATTTGCACGCACAACGACACGTGGAGCAGGACGGCGCCACGTACGACAGTACGACGCGTTCGTAAGGCGCTGATGTACAGTTTCCTGTGTGAAAGCCTTGTGGGGGTTGTGCGCTCGAAGTTGCGCCCACGGTTACAGTGGCGCCCTCCAGTGGTGGCGAGGTGCGGTTCCGGAATGGTAGCCGCGTTGTGAAATGCCGGATGACCGTTCTGCAGTTTTGCGCTAGCAGCAGCAGCAGCAGCAGCAGCAGCAGCAGCAGCAGCACGCATACGGTCTGTGTGTGTGTGTGCTTGTATGTATGTCTGCGGGTAGGAAGCGCGGGTTTATGCATTTCCTTTTGCGGACATTAAACTCTGAGCATATACTACTAAACTCTGTGTGTATCTATTTCTAATTGTCTGCTATTGTTATTACCTGCCGTACTACCTGCCGTACTACCTGCCGTAGTACTATGAGTACCATCAGTGCGATCATCCAGGATGAAACCAATGCGTCGTTATTTGTGTACGTGTGCATTTATACGTGTTTGTGCGCGTCTGAATGCCTTCATGTAAATTTGTATGCATATGTATGTATGTATGTATGTATTATATTTGTCGACTGTCGCGTGAGAGGCAACATCGTGCAAACCTGCGAAAGGGCCTCTGGAGCCCTCTGGGTGAAGAGCGGGTGATGGGGGGCCTGATGTGCCGCACCGGAAAAACCGCTACGCACAGCCCCTGTTCCGTACGTCAGTTTGAGGCATGTACGACATGTACAATAGTAAGCCTACGAATTGAGGTACAGGGAAGGAGCTGCAAGCGTGAGGCGTATGTGTGTGCGTGTCCGTAGATGGAGACACGGTTAGTTAACAGGTGGTTATTGTTAGTTAGGACGTCCGCAATCGGTTAGTCAGCGATATATAAAACGGGGGTGATGGTGGGTCGATAATTATAATAAACGCAGCAGTCGGCTCATTTGGGGCGAAGTGGCAGCAGCACGAGGAGGAGGGCGAGGGCGAGGTGGACTGTAATATGTACACACATATAATCCACAATACACGCATACAGGAATGGAAGGTAACTGCAGGCCAGCTGCCATGGGGTGGGGGTGGGGGTGGGTGGTGGGGGTGGTGGTGGTGGTGGTGATGCCTGGAAGCCGGAGATGATGTCGACTTTACAATCATGGCGCAGAATGCACATACAAATGTATACACCCTTTATTCACGACGCGGCTTGTCATACGCATATAAAGCGATTTGCTATCGTACATGGGCGGGGCACTCCTCTTTTTGTTCAAATTCCATGTATTGGAATTTGCGAATGCATGCATCGCATGCTATGTATCGCGAATACCGGTAACTGGCATCGGCAACCGTTAACAACCGTATTAAACCGGTTTGCTGACTTTGGACTTTACGACCCATGGGCCATGTCCCTTTAAAATAGTGAAAATCACAAAATCGACATGTCCTAGTCATTAACCGTTAGCGCTAACGGTCGGTCGGTCATTGAAGTGCTGCTTGTTTATTTCCTAGGGTTGTCAGGACGCGTCTTGCGTCCCAGAGAGGGGAAGACAGAGGGATAAGCGTATGCGAAAGGAGATGCGCGCGGCGTCTGGCGCGCGCGCGCGAGCGAGCGAGAGGGTGTGAGTCGTAGCAAGGGTGAGGGGGATGGAGGAAGCGAGAGCGTGAGAGGAGTGTTGGTGGAACAGCAGGTCCCATTTTGATGTGGGAAGCAGGTGGTGCTGGTGGTGTCATAGATGTCGTTAAATGTCGGCGCATTGCCGAGAGCGCTTTGGTGGTGTCAGTGATCTGTTGCGGAGGATGAGAGGGAAGGGAACGGAGGGACACAGGAGTCAAAGAGCCAGATGTGTGTGTGTATGTGCCTGTGTGTGTGCGTGTGTGTTGATTAACCGCGACACGGGAGCGGGCCAACATGTGTGCACGAATGCGAGCTCCGTAGTCGAGCGACGTATACTAGTGCCTTTTCCAGTAAATAAACCGTGGAGGATTCTCCAACAAGATGCGTAGATGGTATCCAGAGCCCATAGAAGTGGATAGAAGTGCGCGGCGCTGTGGGCAACTGCGTGTGTGTGTGTGTGCGTGTGTGTTTGTGTGTGTGTGCGTGTGTGTTTGTAACATCTGAGCCGCGATATGAGAACCTGATGCCTGAGTTGTATCGATGTGAGCTCCGTGAAAAGCTTTTCCGTACTGTAGACATGTTAGCCCAATGAAATTGTAGTGGCCTCTGTGACAGCTCACAGTACAGCAGAAGCTTAGTTAGGCTCCTGGCCCCTACCACCGTCCACATGAACGCGCGCTGCTCCTGGACCATATGGATTTGTCACTCGGCATTCTCGAAGTTCACATTAAAAAACCCGGATCCCCACACTTGCACTTCGTAGGAAAGGACAGGCAAGGCCAGCGCATTATAAAATGACAAGTTGAGCTTGGGTACGGTACGTTTCTTTTCACGACAGAGATGTGAGGCCAAAAGTGGCATGTTCCCGTGCCGCAAGAAGAAGCTGGTTAGTGCAGGCGGCAAACCGTTGGCCTGTCCCGTAGTGCATCCCGAGGTACTGTGCCGCTTCATTATGGGGCAATACACGCAACATCTCCCCGCCCAGCCGGTACACGTAACCCACGAGCGACCCCCACTCAGTAGGTGTGCCCCTGAAGACAAGCACCTCACACTTGGCTCCGTTAGCAGCCATCCCAGTCGCCTTGCAAAACATCTCGAGTAACCAAGAAGGCATTGTGCCCGCTCGCAGCCAGTGGCTAAGAGTGATGCATCATCAACAAACAGCAAGTTAGTGAGCTCACTGTCCCCCGAGTCCCCCGAGTGCTTTGGTCCTGCAGTACGGACCACCTGGGGGGGCGGTGCAGCCAGCAATCCTTGTCATGGGCATTAATGTAATAAGCAAACACGTCCATGAACAGCAACCCTGCAAGCGAATAAGTACCTCGGCAAACCCTACCGAAGTCGCCGTCCGACCGGATCACCCAAAATGACCGTTAGGGTGGGATGTACATTGTCCGACGGTTGAATCGCCAAACCCATGTGACGAGCAAAACTGCACTTAAGAGGGCTGAAGTCATGAATGTTCCCAGTGTCGATAAGAATGGAGGCATCGGACTGGCACTCTTTACCTCGAAACCTCATAGATAAACCTTTAGAAACGGAGAAAGGCGAAGGAGGGAGCGACGTCAGCATCAGGAGCAGATACCGGAGGGTCGTACCAGAACTCGACAGGACCAGTTAACCCAGCAGAGCGTCGCTTCCCTATCGCGGCAGCAACATCGAACAGCGTGGTACGTACGAAAACCACCTGATGTTGAATGCGGTGCGATGCTCTTGCAGTTCAAGTGCAGTGCAACAGATACTCTCGAGCACGTGCAGGAGGCGGATGAACGACAACATAATGTCCGGCACAGCGAACTAAACTTGGGGCACATAGCTCATCAGAGTGAGGGGACAAACGGATCCCAAGTGAAGCGCGGACCAGTCAAACACTGAAGCTGCTCGAATTCGGAAGTGCAAAGTATGCGGGTCGAAGGGATGAGTGCAGAAGTTCGTCTTTGTGTTACAAGATTGACGAGGCTCGGCAATTAGAGCAGCAAAAACAGCAGCATCCTGATGCATGAGTTGCACTAATGACAAAGTCTGCAGGTCTGTCACACACAAACGAAACCCCCCGAACCGCATCATGCCAGGCCATGCCCCCCAATCACATCATGCCCGGCCATGCCCCCCAACCACATCATGCCAGGCCATGCCCCCCAAACCCGCATCATGCCAGGCCATGCCCCCCAAACCGCATTTTGCCAGGCCATGCACCCAAACCGCATCTTGCGGCCCAGACTCCCGTGCACGATACCGTGCTAAGGCGCCTCACGTACGTCGCAGCCTCGTTAGAGCTGAGGCCGCGCAGTCCTTCAGAGCTTCAAACACAAAGTCTGCGGAGAGGAGACCCTGCACAAGTACAGATGACACGGTTAAACATGCGGATTCCAACGACTAACGGTTGCATTTAAGCGCGAACAGCAGTTAAAACCCTAAGCTTGCGGCCCAGACTTACCGTGCACGATACCGTGCTAAGGTGCCTCACGTACGTCGCAGCCTCGTTAGAGCTGAGGCCGCGCAGTCCTTCAGAGCTTCAAACACAAAGTCTGCGGAGAGGAGACCCTGCACAAGTACAGATGACACGGTTAAACATGCGGATTCCAACGACTAACGGTTGCATTTAAGCGCGAACAGCAGTTAAAACCCTAAGCTTGCGGCCCAGACTTACCGTGCACGATACCGTGCTAAGGTGCCTCACGTACGTCGCAGCCTCGTTAGAGCTGAGGCCGCGCAGTCCTTCAGAGCTTCAAACACAAAGTCTGCGGAGAGGAGACCCTGCACAAGTACAGATGACACGGTTAAACATGCGGATTCCAACGACTAACGGTTGCATTTAAGCGCGAACAGCAGTTAAAACCCTAAGCTTGCGGCCCAGACTTACCGTGCACGATACCGTGCTAAGGTGCCTCACGTACGTCGCAGCCTCGTTAGAGCTGAGGCCGCGCAGCCCTTCAGAGCTTCAAACACAAAGTCTGCGGAGAGGAGACCCTGCACAAGTACAGATGACACGGTTAAACATGCGGATTCCAACGACTAACGGTTGCATTTAAGCGCGAACAGCAGTTAAAACCCTAAGCTTGCGGCCCAGACTTACCGTGCACGATACCGTGCTAAGGTGCCTCACGTACGTCGCAGCCTCGTTAGAGCTGAGGCCGCGCAGTCCTTCAGAGCTTCAAACACAAAGTCTGCGGAGAGGAGACCCTGCACAAGTACAGATGACACGGTTAAACATGCGGATTCCAACGACTAACGGTTGCATTTAAGCGCGAACAGCAGTTAAAACCCTAAGCTTGCGGCCCAGACTTACCGTGCACGATACCGTGCTAAGGTGCCTCACGTACGTCGCAGCCTCGTTAGAGCTGAGGCCGCGCAGTCCTTCAGAGCTTCAAACACAAAGTCTGCGGAGAGGAGACCCTGCACAAGTACAGATGACACGGTTAAACATGCGGATTCCAACGACTAACGGTTGCATTTAAGCGCGAACAGCAGTTAAAACCCTAAGCTTGCGGCCCAGACTTACCGTGCACGATACCGTGCTAAGGTGCCTCACGTACGTCGCAGCCTCGTTAGAGCTGAGGCCGCGCAGTCCTTCAGAGCTTCAAACACAAAGTCTGCGGAGAGGAGACCCTGCACAAGTACAGATGACACGGTTAAACATGCGGATTCCAACGACTAACGGTTGCATTTAAGCGCGAACAGCAGTTAAAACCCTAAGCTTGCGGCCCAGACTTACCGTGCACGATACCGTGCTAAGGTGCCTCACGTACGTCGCAGCCTCGTTAGAGCTGAGGCCGCGCAGTCCTTCAGAGCTTCAAACACAAAGTCTGCGGAGAGGAGACCCTGCACAAGTACAGATGACACGGTTAAACATGCGGATTCCAACGACTAACGGTTGCATTTAAGCGCGAACAGCAGTTAAAACCCTAAGCTTGCGGCCCAGACTTACCGTGCACGATACCGTGCTAAGGTGCCTCACGTACGTCGCAGCCTCGTTAGAGCTGAGGCCGCGCAGTCCTTCAGAGCTTCAAACACAAAGTCTGCGGAGAGGAGACCCTGCACAAGTACAGATGACACGGTTAAACATGCGGATTCCAACGACTAACGGATGCATTTAAGCGCGAACAGCAGTTAAAACCCTAAGCTTGCGGCCCAGACTTACTGTGCACGATACCGTGCTAAGGCGCCTCACGTACGTCCCAAATCGAATTCGTTCATGCAACCTCCGAACGGCATTATGCCACGAAACCCCACAAGAGCATTCGTCCATGCAAGCCTACAAACCAAATTGTGCCAGGCCATGTGCCCCAAACCCGCATCATGCCAGGCCATGCCCCCCGAACCGCATCATGCCAGGCCATGTCCCCCAATCGCATCATGCCAGGCAGCCCCCCGAACCGCATCATGCCAGGCCATGTCCCCCAAACCCGCAGCATGCCAGGCTATGCCCCCAAAATCGCATTGTGCCAGGCCATGCCCCCCAAACCGCATTGTGCCAGGCCATGTCCCCCAAACCGCACCATCCGGCCATGTCCCCCAATCGCATCATGCCAGGCCGTCACCCAAATCGCATCATGCCAGGCCATGTCCCCCAAATCGCATCATGCCTGGCCATGTCCCCCAAATCGCATCATGCCAGGCCAGCCCCCCGAACCGCATCATGCCAGGCCATGCCCCCCAATCCCATCATGCCAGGCTATGCCCCCAAAATCGCATTGTGCCAGGCCATGCCCCCCAAACCGCATTGTGCCAGGCCATGTCCCCTAAACCCCCCCGAACCGCATCATGCCAGGCCATGCCCCCAAATCGCATCATGCCAGGCCATGTCCCCCAATCACATCATGCCAGGCCATGCCCCCCAATCGCATCATGCCAGGCCAGCCCCCCGAACCGCATCATGCCAGGCCATGCCCCCCAATCACATCATGCCAGGCTATGCCCCCAAAATCGCATAGTGCAAGGCCATGCCCCCTAAACCGCATTGTGCCAGGCCATGTCCCCCGAACCGCATCATGACAGGCCATGCCCCCCAATCACATCATGCCAGGCCATGTCCCCCAAACCCGCATCATGCCAGGCCATGTACCCCGAACCGCATCATGCCAGGCCATGCCCCCCAATCACATCATGCCAGGCCATGCCACCAAGTCGCATTGTGCTTGGCAAAACCCCAAACCGCACTGCGCCCGGCCACCCCAGGCCCCGACAGCATCCGCCCAGGTACCTCCCAGATCATTTTGCATGGGCCCATTACTGGAAGTTCAGTTGCGCAAGTCCTCGTGCTGCATTGATTCCATTTGACCGTCCAACCGAAACCGTTGGTCATTATTAACGTTGATCACTCGATCGTTTACAGAACTGCTGTATTCGCCACTTATTGATATTTTTATTATTAACCGTTATACGGCCGGTATGGCGTTTACTGTACGACACCATTCGTTCGGTCATTGCTCGTAGTTGGCGCTGCACGCAGCCAACAAGTTATCAAGCCAACAAGAATGGCAACTGATGATGATGACCATGATTATAATGATGACGATGATGATGATCATGATGATCATGATGCCGATGATGCCGATGGCCTTTACAGCAGTTGATTGTTGCGGCTATATGCCGCCGCCGCCGCCGCCGCCGCCGCTAGCCAACTGGCCAGCAGCGGCGGCGCCCGGCTGGGTGCAGCTGGGTGCGGAGGAATTGCACCCAGCAGTGCACCTGAAGGAAAAGGGACAAGGCGGGGGAAGGGCGCGGGAAGCCAAAATATGGTTAGCAGTACGACACAACTAACACACACATAATTAGGTGACAGTTGCAAGCAAGGGTACCGCTGCTGGTCCCCACGACGCACACCCCATGCACCAAAACCCCAAGCCCATCCGCACCCACCTCAGCCGGGCCCATCATCAGCAACGCCCGCCCGGTGCCACTGGGGCGCACAGGTTGATGCCCCAGCCGCACCTGAAGAGGAGGTGCGTGATAAAGGGGGAAACGGCCAGAGGGGATAGGTAAGGGGGCAGCATACACGGGGGGAAGGGGGGTAAAACACCAAATGTCATTATTTTGCCCAAAAGTCACAAGGCCTCGTTGCGACACGTGTGCTGCGGCCCTGCGGCCTTTTTCCACGACCACTAGTTGAACCCAAATCACGAAGTACGCACCACACCCATACCCACGTCGCCCACCCACCCATCCACCCACCTGAGACGGGCGTTATAAAAGTACGGCCGGCCCCTGCGTGCGGGTGCCGGCAGGCCGGACGACTCGTACGCCCCGAGTCCCGGCAGCCAGTCGACCCTGCATTCGGGTCCTGGCACCAGGGAAGCTGCCGCAAACCCTGGCGATAAAGGGCCCGGGCCATGGCCACTGCTGCAGCTGCTTGCTGATCTGCCGGCTGCTGCTGCCGCTGCTGCTGCTGCTGCTGCTGCTGCTGCTGCTGCTGCTGACTACATAATGAAAAAAGTAAAAATACGGTGACAGGAGGTGCAAAGGCCTGGGAAAACCCATAACCTCTACAACCCCGGCACCCTAATGCACGCCTTAGCTTATTAGGCTGAGGCGCATTACTAACCTATAATAAGATATTTAAAACAGAGTAAAAATATAAGTAAATAAATAAAGCTGAAATAGATATCATGGTTCAGCTTTATTTATTCATCTATTATTTAATAAGGTGTAGCCTCCCCTTAATTAGGTAATCCCCAAACAAATGAAAATTAATTGTGCACAACCAGGGCTGTGGGCACCACAAACGAAAACACGACAGACTGTACACGCGCGGCAACAGCCGTGACACGCGCACACTCGCTGATGCTGGTTGTTGGCTGCTGGCTGATAGCTGCGTAGCGTAGCCCATTTAGGCAATATAACTGGCTGCAGCTGCTGGCTGGTTAGATAACGCTAGCTACCATCCACAAAACCCAGCGACGACAATAAAACCGGCCGGTCACCACCAACTGTCCACCAACTGTCCACCAACTGGATCAACATCTGCCAACCTCTTCCAACCAAACATATCTCCAACGGACAACTTCCACCATGACAACCATATTTCTCGACCCGATCCTCCATATCTTTGGACTCCCTTATTTTCCTGCTTTGAACTAGTCCTACCGTTTGCAACGAATGTCGTGGTTTGAGCAAGGATGTCTCCCTTTTCATCTTTCTTTTGTGCATGGTAGGTTTGAAAGCAGAAGGGTGATAAGAGGAAAAAGGCCGCGGTGGCAGCAACGCCAGAGGTGAAAAGCCGCAGCGGCGGCAGGGAAGGGAAATGCACCGCAAGAACAGCAATTTGCTGTAGCGATGAGAGGAAAGGAAAAAGGCCGCGGTGGCAGCAACGCCAGAGGTGAAGAGCCGCAGCGGCGGCAGGGAAGGGAAATGCACCGCAAGAACAGCAATTTGCTGTAGCGATGAGAGGAAAGGAAAAAGGCCGCGGTAGCAGCAATGCCAGAGGTGAAGAGCCGCAGCGGCGGCAGGGGAGGGAAATGCACCGCAAGAACAGCAATTTGCTGTAGCGATGAGAGGAAAGGAAAAAGGCCGCGGTGGCAGCAACGCCAGAGGTGAAGAGCCGCAGCGGCGGCAGGGGAGGGAAATGCACCGCAAGAACAGCAATTTGCTGTAGCGATGAGAGGAAAGGAAAAAGGCCGCGGTGGCAGCAATGCCAGAGGTGAAGAGCCGCAGCGGCGGCAGGGGAGGGAAATGCACCGCAAGAACAGCAATTTGCTGTAGCGATGAGAGGAAAGGAAAAAGGCCGCGGTAGCAGCAACGCCAGAGGTGAAGAGCCGCAGCGGCGGCAGGGGAGGAAAGTGCAGTGCAAGGACAGCACAAAGGCTGTAGCGATGAGAGGAAAGGAAAAAGGCCGCGGTGGCAGCAACGCCAGAGGTGAAGAGCCGCAGCGGCGGCAGGGGAGGAAAGTGCAGTGCAAGGACAGCACAAAGGCTGTAATGCCAGATGTGACGGCGACGGCGACAGCACGAGAAGGCTACGGTGAGACTCCGACGGCTAGGCGCCGTCGGCGAGAGGTCGACGGCGACCTCGCCGAAGGTGAGAAGGCGACGCGATGGCGAGACGCCGACGGCGAGACGGCGACGGCGAGAAGGCGAGGCGAGGCGCCGTCGGCGTTAGGGCGACGGCGACCTCGCCGCCGGCGAGAAGGCGACGCGATGGCGAGACGCCGGCGGCGAGACGGCGACGGCAAGAAGGCGAGGCGAGGCGCCGTCGGCGTCAGGGCGACGGCGACCTCGCCAAAGGTGAGAAGGCGACGCGATGGCGAGACGCCGGCGGCGAGACGGCGACGGTGATGAAAATGGCATGACGGTGACGGCTGAGGGGGATCCGGGGATTCGGGCGGGGATTACGTGGTTACATACACACTACAAGGCGGTTTCGGAGTGGCCGAATTCACAACAGATTCCAACGAAACGCAAGACATGGAACCAAACGACCCTCGACCATGCCATGCCATCATGCATACCACAACAAAGGGTTGATGATGCAGATTGATTGGTGGTCGGCAATACAAATCCGGCATCCCAAATCCGACATGCTATGGCAAAGCGTTGCAAGACGGCATGGGGACGTGTGAAACGAGGCCCCTCTCGTACTTACACATTCTCACACATGACGGCGATGTACGGCGCTGGCGGCGCCTGTGATGCTCGTCGCGCCGATACGTGTTGTCCTGTTGGAAGTCCTCGCCCAGGCTCGCTCAGACCGGTGGCGGGAACGGGCGGGAGGTGGGCGGGGAAATACACACACACACGCTGTTAATCAGCTAGCAGGGGACACAACGAGCACAGACTTTGCACAGCAAAACGACATGGGCAGTTGCGCACAATATGCAGAAACGTACTAATACGCACACGGGCACATCGCGGGCAGTTGGGAATTCTCCATCACAAGTAAAAGCAGTAGCACCCTCACACATACACATACGTATACGCGTGCGCGCATGCACACACAAAAACACCCTCTTACACACACCTACATACACTTACACACGCACACGCGCGCGCGTGAGCACATTCTCGCCCACATTTGAACAGATACCTACCTACATACATACAAACATACATACATACAATTGCGCACAAATACAAGACACTGAAGACCGCAACAATAACCATCGGCCGGCTTTGCAGCTTCTATCTGAGTTTGCTGACCTTATCTTTGCAGTTTGCTGCCTTTGTGCTTTTGCTGTCGTTGTCACTGTTGCTGCTTGCCGGCACGACAGGAGAAAAACACCGCGCCACGAAACACCCACAGCAAGAAACTTTGCTCCGAACGTATGTACGACATCACTACATCACGAACGGACACAAAGTGGCACCCACGCAGTGAACATACGGGGAAAGACCTTCATGCCGTACTCCCTACACGCCGCACCTTACCAAGGTACAACAATTTCATACCGAAATCCCCCTCCGTCACCAACTCGTCTATCCATTTGCAACGCGCCTTCACCCATAGAATCCAAGAACGATGGCCGACCTTGATACGACGTGTAACGGCCTCACGGCCGGAAATCTAGGCGCGTTCTAACTAACGTACGACATGTACGGGCGACCGTGCATCCGGCGTCACCCACCGGCAGCGGAAGACGATGTGAGCTTGACTGCGTTGATTATAAGCGTTGACAACGGTGAGACTCCGACGGCGAGGCGCCGTCGGCGAGAAGGCGACGGCGACCTCGCCGAAGGTGAGAAGGCGACGCGATGGCGAGACGCCGACGGCGAGACGGCGACGTCGAGAAGGCGAGGCGAGGCGCCGTCGGCGTTAGGGCGACGGCGACCTCGCCAAAGGTGGGAAGGCGACGCGATGGCGTGGCGCCGGCGGCCGGCGAGAAGGCGAGGCGAGGCGCCGTCGGCGTTAGGGCGACGGCGACCTCGCCAAAGGTGGGAAGGCGACGCGATGGCGTGGCGCCGGCGGCCGGCGAGAAGGCGAGGCGAGGCGCCGTCGGCGTTAGGGCGACGGCGACCTCGCCAAAGGTGAGAAGGCGACGCGATGGCGAGACGCCGGCGGCCGGCGAGACGGCGACGGCGAGAAGGCGAGGCGAGGCGCCGTCGGCGATAGGGCGACGGCGACCTCGCCAAAGGTGAGAAGGCGACGCGATGGCGAGACGCCGGCGGCCGGCGAGAAGGCGAGGCGAGGCGCCGTCGGCGTTAGGGCGACGGCGACCTCGCCAAAGGTGAGAAGGCGACGCGATGGCGAGACGCCGGCGGCCGGCGAGAAGGCGAGGCGAGGCGCCGTCGGCGTTAGGGCGACAGCGACCTCGCCAAAGGTGAGAAGGCGACGCGATGGCGAGACGCCGGCGGCCGGCGAGAAGGCGAGGCGAGGCGCCGTCGGCGTTAGGGCGACGGCGACCTCGCCAAAGGTGAGAAGGCGACGCGATGGCGAGACGCCGGCGGCGAGACGGCGACGGCGAGAAGGCGAGGCGAGGCGCCGTCGGCGTTAGGGCGACGGCGACCTCGCCAAAGGTGAGAAGGCGACGCGATGGCGAGACGCCGGCGGCCGGCGAGAAGGCGAGGCGAGGCGCCGTCGGCGTTAGGGCGACGGCGACCTCGCCGAAGGTGATAAGGCGACGCGATGGCGTGGCGCCGGCGGCCGGCAAGAAGGCGAGGCGACGCGCCGTCGGCGTTAGGGCGACGGCGACCTCGCCAAAGGTGGGAAGGCGACGCGATGGCGTGTCGCCGGCGGCGAGACGGCGACGGTGATGAAAATGGCATGACGGTGACGGCTGAGGGGGATCCGGGGATTCGGGCGGGGATTACGTGGTGACATACACACTACAAGGCGGTTTCGGAGTGGCCGAATTCACAACAGATTCCAACGAAACGCAAGACATGGAACCAAACGACCCTCGACCATGCCATGCCATCATGCATACCACAACAAAGGGTTGATGTTGCAGATTGATTGGTAGTCGGCAATACAAATCCGGCATCCCAAATCCGACATGCTATGGCAAAGCGTTGCAAGACGGCATGGGGACGTGTGAAACGAGGCCCCTCTCGTACTTACATTCTCACCCATGACGGCGATGTACGGCGGTGGCGACGCCTGTGATGCTCGTCGCGCCGATACGTGTTGTCCTGTTGGAAGTCCTCGCCCAGGCTCGCTCAGACCGGTGGCGGGAACGGGCGGGAGGTGGGCGGGGAAATACACACACACACACACACACACACGCTGTTAATCAGCTAGCAGGGGACACAACGAGCACAGACTTTGCACAGCAAAACGACATGGGCAGTTGTGCACAATATGCAGAAACGTACTAATACGCACACGGGCACATCGCGGGCAGTTGGGAATTCTCCATCACAAGTAAAAGCAGTAGCACCCTCACACATACACATACGTATACGCGTGCGCGCATGCACACACACACACACACACACACACACACACATACACCCTCTTACACACACCTACATACACTTACACACGCACACGCGCGCGCGTGAGCACATTCTCGCCCACATTTGAACAGATACCTACATACATACATACAAACATACATACATACATACAATTGCGCACAAATACAAGACACTGAAGACCGCAACAATAACCATCGGCCGGCTTTGCAGCTTCTATCTGAGTTTGCTGACCTTATCTTTGCAGTTTGCTGCCTTTGTGCTTTTGCTGTCGTTGTCGCTGTTGCTGCTTGCCGGCACGACAGGAGAAAAACACCGCGCCACGAAACACCCACAGCAAGAAACTTTGCTGCGAACGTATGTACGACATCACTACATCACGAACGGACACAAAGTGGCACCCACGCAGTGAACATACGGGGAAAGACCTTCATGCCGTACTCCCTACACGCCGCACCTTACCAAGGTACAACAATTTCATACCGAAATCCCCCTCCGTCACCAACTCGTCTATCCATTTGCAACGCGCCTTCACCCATAGAATCCAAGAACGATGGCCGACCTTGATACGACGTGTAACGGCCTCACGGCCGGAAATCTAGGCGCGTTCTAACTAACGTACGACATGTACGGGCGACCGTGCATCCGGCGTCACTCACCGGCACCGGAAGACGATGTGAGCTTGACTGCGTTGATTATAAGCGTTGACAACGGTGAGACTCCGACGGCGAGGCGCCGTCGGCGAGAAGGCGACGGCGACCTCGCCGAAGGTGAGAAGGCGACGCGATGGCGAGACGCCGGCGGCGAGACGGCGACGGCGAGAAGGCGAGGCGCCGTCGGCGTTAGGGCGACGGCGACCTCGCCAAAGGCGAGAAGGCGACGCGATGGCGAGACGCCGGCGGCCGGCGAGAAGGCGAGGCGAGGCGCCGTCGGCGTTAGGGCGACGGCGACCTCGCCAAAGGTGAGAAGGCGACGCGATGGCGAGACGCCGGCGGCGAGAGGGCGACGGCGAGAAGGCGAGGCGAGGCGCCGTCGGCGTTAGGGCGACGGCGACCTCGCCAAAGGTGAGAAGGCGACGCGATGGCGAGACGCCGGCGGCCGGCGAGAAGGCGAGGCGAGGCGCTGTCGGCGTTAGGGCGACGGCGACCTCGCCGAAGGTGATAAGGCGACGCGATGGCGTGGCGCCGGCGGCCGGCAAGAAGGCGAGGCGAGGCGCCGTCGGCGTTAGGGCGACGGCGACCTCGCCGAAGGTGAGAAGGCGACGCGATGGCGAGACGCCGGCGGCCGGCAAGAAGGCGAGGCGAGGCGCCGTCGGCGTTAGGGCGACGGCGACCTCGCCAAAGGTGAGAAGGCGACGCGATGGCGAGACGCCGGCGGCCGGCGAAAAGACGAGGCGAGGCGCCGTCGGCGTTAGGGCGACGGCGACCTCGCCGAAGGTGATA